GCCTCAGCCGGTTGGAAAGTGTGCTCCATGGGTACTTTTCGAAATTAAAGGCTCAAATTGAACTTGAACTCGAAAAATAGCCTCAGCAAGTCGGAAAATGTGCTCCATGGATATTTTTTAAATTTAGAGGCTCAATTATGACTTGAGCTGGAAAAAACAGCTGCAATAAGTCGGAAAATGCGCTCCATGGATGAATTTTCCGGATATTTTTTGAAAAAAAAATCTAATTTTGAAATTCGCCTTGGAGCGCAGATGTCCAAGCCAGTAACGGCTATTTTTTTCAGTTTTTTTCCCGGTAAAAGTTCGCCATGGAGCGCCCATTCTCCCATTTTAGGAGGCTATTTTTTCTCCTTTTCTTAAAGCTCGATTTTTCATTCGCTGCTTCTTTATAGTAATATCCTCATTAGATTGATTTTGAAGCCGTTCTTAACAGTTAGTCAGTACTATCTGACTGTTTTTTCTCAACTCCTTTCATCATTCAAATCAGCTCCAAAAGGCTATTTCTTCTCCCTTCTATTTCCACAAATCCCCCCTCCGGCCCAACTCGAAAATCACTTCATCTGGAGGTCCGGAATGAAAAATGACGGATTGTTATTGTCGGTTAGTTGGCGCGAGCCGACACTTGCAGACCCTATTGTCAGGAAAAAAAAATTTTTTTTCGGCGGGTTCCGAAATTTTCGTGGGAGCCAAAAAGGCGATGGAATTTGTGTATGTGGCACGTCGAAAACATCCTCCTCCTCTTCTCCAACAATTTCTTTCCGGCCAATATTCTTTTTTTTCCCATCAGTTTATGTATGCAGTGGGTGTCGGACCGGTGGAAACGTCAGAGTAAGGATCAGGAGCAAAAATGGAAGAATGTGAGGAATTTTCTAGATGCGGAGCGGTCGCGTCGCGGTTCGGAGGAAGCAAAGCTTAAACCGAGAACTTATTGTGCAGGAGTCCGGTCCATAGGAGAAGTTGTAGAAAAAGAGGCTTTTGATTTTTGACAACGGAACAAAAGCATAAGAAACAGATAAGAACTTGAGATGCGGAGCGGTCGCGTCGCGGTTCGGAGGGAGTCAAGCTTGGATCGAAAACTTATTGTACAGAAGAGTGAGATCCATGGGTAAAGTTGTAGAATTAGAGGTTTTTAGTTTTTGAGGATGAAAAAAGGAATAATGTGAGGAATTTTGAGGCGTGGAGCGGTCGCGTCGCGGTTCGGATGCAAAAAGCTTGATTGAAATGGATTTTTCCGAATACTTTGTACAGGGAAGGGAGATGAGTGGAAAAATGAAGAAAGAACTTTTTGACTTATAAGTATGATTCAAATGCGGGCCGGTCGCGTCGCGGTTGGGTCGCGTCGCGGTCCGAGTGCGTCGCGTCGCGTATCGAATGAAGCCGAGCTCGAAATTTTGTACAGAAGGGCTGTGTGAAGTTTTAGATATAGAGGCTTTTTTTTCTTAAAAAGGGACATGAAAAGCTTTCGAGGTGCGATGCGGTCGCGTCGCGGTTCAAAAAGGAAGATTTGGATCAAAGTAGGACTTTTGGCTTATGAGAATGGTTCAAATGCGGCGCGGTCGCGTCGCGGTTTTGGGACGCAAGAAATGTTCGGTCGTCGAGAATGATTCTGCGTAAACTAGATCAGGTCGGGCGCAGAGTAAAGTTTCTAGAAAGCTCTTCTGCCGAGGGTGGGCTGATGTGGGTATTTGTTAAACGTCAAATATGTATGAACTCCTAAGAAAAATGTCTGTTTTTTGTTGCGTAACGGTTGCGTCGCGGCTTATCCTCGAAGTAAACCGATTTCAGCCGAGTACAATCGCAGTTTTTTGGTGGAATGTTGTACTTAAATGTATGAGATGACGTTTTTCAAAATTATAGTGAAGTAAGAATGTTTTTTGAGGCTTAACAGAGTAGTAAATCGGTTCAGGTCGGGTTGAGCCGCAGATTTTTGGTTGTGAAATATAGCTTGAAATATAAAAACAGTTTCTTTTGAGAAGTGGTCATTATAGGGTTGGATTTTGTGACTAGATTTAGAGAAGGTATGTGTCCACTTGAGGGACCTATCTGAAGTAGAAGAAAAAATTCTGGATTTTTCAAAAATCAAAGCGAAATTGAATAATTTCGGGTTCTTGAAATCCTTGTTTCAATCTGGAAGCCTTTTTCGATGCTTATGAAGTTTTCTAGGAATGCGCCCGACTCAAAACGACTTGCGCTTGTTTGCATAGGAAAGCTCCAAATTTCAAGCTTTTTGTGCACTTTTTTTTAAATATACTTTTCGAGCCATTCCAAATGCAACCACGGCTTGGCAAAAAATGAAAAAAATTTCTTCGAAGCTTTTTTTTTTAATTTAGCTTTTTTTTCCGAAGTTCACTTAGTAAGTTAAACTTGAAGAAGTTCACAAGCTGTTTTTCTGGAAGCTTAGGAACGCCAGGAAAGTGACCACTCTAGGGGTTAGGGATGAAAAATCCCTCAGTCCTTGAATCTATACAAATACTACCAAAATTTCCAAAATTTACCCCGATCAGACGATGTTTCAAGCTTGGCAACGTATCAAAACAAGGCGAGCTTCCAAAAATCCACCCTCCCCGGCTGATCCGCCTTACAACTTTAACACCTCCAGCTTTCATCTGATTTCGAAAGCCGGATTCTCGAGGCTTTTCCCCTGTTTCTACACATACTATATTTGAGATTAAAGCTTCACGTTGGAGATCAGATTTGCTTGCGTAGAAACAAGGAAAAGCTAAAAGTGTATATATTGATGGGGGCTCCAAAAGGAGGGGAAGTTAGTGCTTTTAACCCTTGAAAATTAAGTTTCGAAATTTCGAAAGGGTGATTTCTGATGAAAGACCATGTTTTTGGTGAAAAATCGACCTCATATCAAAGTTTTTGATGAGAATTGAGTGATAGAAAAATGGCAAAAAAAGATCCGCGCCGATGGGGATCGAACCTGGATCCTGATTTCCAGAAACAAAGGCGTTATCCACTTGACTAAAATGGTCAGAAGAGCCAACAGCCTAACTATAGGGGTAAGGATGAGGAGAAAAAAGCGCCTATTATAGGGGTAAAATTCAAGTGATCACTATAGGGGTTTAGAGGCTGATTTCTGAACCTTCAAAGCTCAAGTGGTCCCTCAAGTGGTATTTTAACTTTTTTGTTATTTTTTAAAGGTTAAGAAGGTGTACAGGGACCACTATCATGCTTCCCTAGAGTTTTAAGCTTCAGTGGCCCCTATAGGGGTAATTGAAGTGATCCCTAAAGGGTCCCCTGAAGTTGCCACTCCAGGGAACACTCTGTCATTTTTAAAAAGGTGCGTTCTATGGTTAGAACCCATTTTCGCGTCAAATTTTGAAGCTTTTCTTAGCTTCTTCCTTCTTCAAAAAATAGTCCATTCTCACGGGGTTATTCAAAATTGAGATGGGATTTTGTGAAATTTCATGGGAGAATATTCCAAATTTTCAAACTGAGGATCCACAAATTCGATATTTTCCCACTCTGTTACCGTCCCAAGCTCCATCACGGGAAAATATGTACCCCTTATCGTCACATCAAGCTCTTGAATATTAACTTGAGATGTTCCCAAGCTTAGGCTAAGATCTCTTCGCACTTTTTCCAATTTTCATAGTCGAAATCGATATTCCATGTGAGATTCCAACTCATCGGAACAAAGTTAATACCCATCTGGATTTCGAAACAACTTTTATCCGGAAATCTAGATTTTTCAAGCTTAGATCTCGATTAATCGCTTACGCAACTTTCAAACCCGATACAAAACAATCTGCTGATTATTTTTTGAAGCTTAACGTTATTTCGAGCTTAAAAAAGTACCTAAAATAAAATCACTCTTGTAGGAATCATCAATAAGGTCAGATTTCGCTGCGAAACTGCTTTCCTTGAAGGGACAGTAGAATTTTTAGGCTTTACTGTAAATTACTCTTTAATAATATTTTTCGCTGAGGAGCATCTATCTCCGTGTGAACTCTTGTTAATATTTACGATTTTTCAGATTTTAAAGTTCATCTGATTTCAAAATAAACAGTTTAAGGTTTTTTACATACTCCCATATAAAAATAAAACCAACTCAAGCTTCAAAGTTAACTTTTTCGGCTTTTTTGAGCTCAAAAGTTTTCCTCTCACATCAAGTTTTTGCTTATAAATTTCAATATTATTGTCAAGTTTTGTTTGTAGCTCAGAGCTCACTGTGAACGGAGATTTTTAGATTCTTAGATTTGAGAAGTGTAACTCAAACGGCATACTTTATATCAAGATTTTTGGCTCTTTTCGAGCTTCCAACTGTTTCCATTAAGACCAAAAATCACCTGGTGCTCCTGACTTCATGATTTTAAATTATAGGATCTTCAACCTCAAAGGTGAGAATAAAGGGTCCGACTTCTTTCCATTCACCTTCATCAGCCTAACCCAATGGAATTATTTCAAGAATCAGGCCTACTGATAATATAAACATTTCAAGCTTGGGACTCGTTGTCCCGGTCAAGAACTGCGCCATGAGTGCGACCAATTCAAACTTCAAGCTTGGCATTTTTGTACTTCACTCCCCCCATCGCCCCATGTTTCACTAGAGTCTTCTCGAGGACTTCAAGAGCTTGAATCTACCTTCATCAGCCTCACTTTTTTCACCCCAAGGCAAGCTTCTTCTGCTCCCTCCCTACCACCTAGATTTGTCAAAGCTCTATCAAATGAGACGCACCGCATTGACATCTTCAGCTATTCCAGTCCTCCAACTCGTGATTTTCGCACTTTACCCAGTTCCAAAGGCTCCACCTTCATCATTATCGCCATGGAGAGATCAAAACAACACGGGTTAGAGTTGGAGCAGAATTCAAAAAGTGGGCGTGGCCATCGAGAAGGGGCGGCACCGGAACACTGGGCGTGGCTCGGCCGTGTGAGCAGAAACAGAACGCGAAGACGACGTTGTTTTTGGCTCCGAACCACAACATTTTTATCCCCCTCCCCTGCCGACACCTCCACCTACTACTTTTCCGACTTTCATTATCCAAAGTCAGATGTCTGCTGAAATTCCAACGATGGCCCATCTTGGACTGTACGGTCCTCTCTCGAAACCTTTCGAGTTGTCCTTGAGCGCCATTAAGAGCGTCCTGGAGCCCGAGAATCCGTCCTACTCGAGTGAGTTTCCCGGCTACGTATCCTAGGAAAAATTTGGCTGCGCATCGGCTGTCTTAGGCTTTCAAACAGTCCCTTTCCTTGTCCAGAGCTATGTAACATGGTTCGGTAGATAAAAAAAGTTCCTCCAGTGTTTCCTGGCTACGTATCCTAGGAAAAATTTGGCTGCGCATCGACTGTCTCAGACATCCAGAGCTATGTAACACGGTTCGGTAGACGTACAAACTTATGTCTTTTTCGAACTAGTTTCCTGGCTACGTATCCAAAATTGGCTGTGCATCGACTATCTCAAGTTCCTTTCTCTCTTTCCTAATAAAGTAGATCGCTCAGTTTCTGTCCTACTGAGTTCCTTGGCTACGTATCCCAGTGAAAATTTGGCTGCGCATCGACTGTTTTACGCTTTCAAGCATTCCCTTGCCTTGTACAGAGCTATGTAACACGTTTAGGTAGACGTAAAAACTTCTGACTAGTTTCCTGGCTACGTATCCAATATATTGGCTGCGCAGCGACTATCTCGAATTCCTTCCTCTCTTTCTTAACCCAATACTATGAAAATTCTTTAGTAGATGGCTCAGTTTCTGTCCTAGTTCTTTGGCTACGTATCCTAGAGAAGATTTGGCTGCGCATCGACTGTCTTAGGCTTTCAAACAGTCTCTTTTCTTGTCCAGAACAATGTAACATGCTTCGGTAGAGTTTCCTGGCTACGTATCCAGATTTGGCTGCGCATCGACTAAGTTCGTTATCATGATAAGTGCTGGCTACGTATCCTCAAAAAAAAATTGGCTGCGCATCGACTGTCTCAATTTTTTACCCCTGTTTCTTTTTCCGAAATGGCTCCGTATCCTTAATTTTCATGGCTACGTATCCTCGAGAAAAATTGGCTGCGCATCGACTAGCTTAACACTTCTGTACAATATGTTTATTGCAAGATTTTCGACTGGGTGTTCTTCAAAATAAAAAATGAAGTACTTGAGTATTTTTCTTGGCTCCGTATCCTCGAGAAAAAATTGGCTGCGCATCGTCTACCTCAAAATTTTTTGAACAGTCCTGCTCTTGTTCCAAAGCTACTATAAGGATAACTTTGAACGAGTGGCTCCGTATCCTTGCAAAATTTGGCTGAGCATCAACTGACTTAGTGTGACTTTTTTAATGTTTTGAACTGAATTTTTTTACTTCGAATGTTCATTTTTTAGGCTGCTTATCAATTTTTTTTTTCCAATGTTAGTAAAAAAAAATTTTCTTTCGGTTAGTAGCATATTTCCATCTGGAAAAGTTTCCCTCCGTATCAAAGCTTTGAATTAAAAAACTTGGCTGAGCATCGACTTTAGACTCTTTATTGAGAGTTTCGTTCAACTTGATTTAAATCAAAAAAAAACCATATTTTGCTGCGCATCAACTCAAATAACGTTCTGTGGCTCCGTATCAACATTTTTCGGCTGAGCATCGAACAATTTTTTTTTGAAATTTAAATTTTGCTCTTCTTTAACCTCGATTTTACACCAATATTGAACAAAAATGAGCAAACTTCGTATCAAGATTTGGCTGCGCATCGACTGGAATTTGCTACTTTCAAGCCCTTTTCTGAAAAGTTGTTCAAATTTGAGATTTTACTTGTTTTTTTGTCGATTTTAAATGAGAAAATTTGATTTTTTGTAATTATATTGAAAAATTCGGTTCTTTTGTGTATGAAAATGGCTGAATGTGATGAAATTAGATAATTAAAAAATTAGTTCAATAATTAATTAATCGAAGGCATTTCAGAACGAGTGCCAAACTGTCAAAAAAATGCGGACAACACGGCCGAAAATCCCGTCTGAAGGGTCACAAACGGTAAAAAAATTAGCTTTCTCAGATGAGATTACGGTTTCAAGAAGAGTATTTAAATTGAAAAAAATTTATTTTATAATTCCGCTGGGAAGATAAACTCATCTAATTTCTATATTTTTTTCCGGTAAAAAGTAAAAAAATTTTTTTCCCAGTGGTTTGAGAGATTCTTCGATTTTTTTCACTATAAAAAAATGATGAATTTTAAATTTTTTTCCAGTATTTTTTTCAGTTTAAAAAAATCGAAAAATATTTTTTTTTGTTCCAGTACAATTTCCTCAAAGCTTAGCTCAAACAATAGCTTTTTTTGGTTTTTTTCAGAAAAAAATATTGCGTGTCTCTGAACAAAGACATTACTGATACAATTAAAGTACAATTTTGAAAAAAATAAAAAAATAAATTTTTTTCAGCGTTTGCCCGTACCGCGACTGCCCTTGCGCTAAGGTGAGTGCACAGTTTTTCGATTAAAGTAACCTAGAATTATAAAAATTCAGAGGCTTAAAAAGAAAAATGAAGAGATTTAAACTACAGTAACGCGCTAAAATATAGAAAAAGTTTGAAAGTATACGGAAAAATGCACATTTTTCGGCTAGAGTAACCCATAAAAAACAAATTATAAAGATTCAAAGTCTACAGTAACCTATTGAAAAGTGAATGTAGAGGTTTTTCAACTACAGTAACCCGAAAAAAATTAAAAAAATTAAGGTGGAAAAATTATACGATTTTTCCGGAAAAAAATGCACAATTTTTGGGCTACAGTAATCCTCAGAAAATTGATTATTCTTTGAAACCTAGAAGGTTTACACATTTTTTGGCTACAGTAATCCGTCAAAAATTTATTTTTAAATGTTGCGAAAGTGAAGCAGCTGCTCGGAACGAATAATTTTTGTTGCCAAAACGTGAATTTTTTAAATCATCTTCCCGTTTCAAAGAAACTATAAATACTAACTTTCTTGTGTTCAACATTTCAAGTAGGGAATTCAAATTTTTCGAGTCAAGGCCCCGTTTTTGGAACGGATCAGACCGGATTTTCTTTATAAAACTTGTATATAAATTTCGAGGAAAAACTAAAATCTAGGCGACTTTTCTGATGATTCCATGTTGTTGGAACGGATTATAAATGTCTGAGTTTTTTTTTTCGTTGGAAAAATTCGCGAGAAGGGAAAATTTTTAAAGGCGCATGAGACGGTCCCAATAAACAAATTTTACGAGTAGAAACGGTTAAAATTTTTGCCTTCATTAGATTTTTGAAACTGTAAAGTTAGGAAATTAAAGGAGCATGGCTTGTTTTTTTGCAAATTTTTTTCTCATTTCAAATAACTTCAACTTTCAAAAAAATAGGATTTCCCGTATTTTTTTATGGCCCCAAGAAAGAGAACAAGATGATTGTTTTGATATAAAAAAATTTTTTTGGTCCCGCACGGAAACTTGAAATTTAAAGGAGCATAGCTCCATTTTTTGTGATATTTTCAAGTTTCAAAGACATTTTTTTGATTGTTTTTGAATCCTTTTCTCTCATTTAAACAGTTAAAAAAAAAAATTAAAATTTGTTTTTTTGGTCACGCAGGGAAACTCGAAATTTAAAGGAGCATAGCTCAATTTTTCGTGAAATTTCCACGTTTCAAAGACACTTTCAAGCTTGTTTTTTTCTTTTTTACATTGACAAAGCTTGATTGCGTTTAAAGGAGCATTTTCGTGCTTTTTTCTTTATTTCGTTCATTTTTCATTTTTCTGGTCCCGAAACGAACGGAAAAACCATGTTTATAACTCAACATTCAGGCTTGTTTCATTCGTAATTTGGCCTCCGGGGTTGTTTTGACGGAAAGCCGTTCGTTTCTCGAAAAAAGAGCTCAATTTCAGACCCTTTTCCTCTTTTCCCTCTCCTCTCCCTTCAACGTTATCTCGCTCAATCAGCTGATCCTCTTTTCCGCCTCCGCGTTGGGCGTTGTCTCTCGCCAGTCAGCTTCTACGTTTTCGTCTTTCTTTCACAAGGCTATTCATAAACGATTTCGCGGCCGACGAAAACAATCCTCGAGACTCGCTGATTAGTATTATTATTATAAGTATTTTTCGAGAAACTTTTTTTCGAAAATATACGATTTTTCGGAATCTCGTCTTCATAAGTGAGATAAATTGGGATTTTTTTACGAAACGAAAAAAACGATAAATTTGGGATGTTTTTTTGAAGAGCTTCTGCATGAAAAAAAGCTTCTTAAAAAAATTGAAATTCGAAAAATTATAATTACAGTTTCTTTGAGTTTTTGAAAGGAATGAGACCTCGATGAAAAAAATCGATGAAGAGAAAAAAATTTCTGGGAAAAAAATCAGAAAAATCTTTAAGAATTTTTTTAAAGCTTATGCTGAAAGGTCCAGAAATTCCCGTTGAAAAAAATCAGAAAAAAAGTTTTTTTATCTAAAAATTATTTAATTAAAATTTAATAAAGTTTGGACTTCGAAACCTTGAAAAAAAGGCAAAATTTTTTTCAGTTAGAATTATTTTTCCCATAACCTTTTATAAAAGTTCCTAATTAGGTAATCGTTGCGGGATTTGTTTAGATTTCAAAATAAAGGGGATTTTTTTTTTTGAGTTTTCAAGCAATTTTTTAATTTTTAACACCCGGAGAACCTTTGGGAAAAAATCAGAAAATGGTCAATTGTACAAAAAAAATTCCGGACCTTTTCTAGATTTTTTTTCAACTTTTGGGCAATTCTTCATTCTAAAACCCCTCGAAACTTAAAAAATGCTAAAATGTTTCAAAATTAGTCCGAAAAATCCCAAAAAGTCGGTTGAAACGTGGATTTTTATGATTTTAACTGTCACAGGATCATTAAAAATACAGGAAAAAGGGAATTTTACAAAAAAGAAAAAAAATTCACAATTTTTCTGGTTTTTATATTCACATTTTGAGCTTTTTCTTGCTTTGGAAATCCTAGGAACTTTCAAAATTTCTCTAAAAACCCTAAAAAGTAAGTTTAGAATGATTTCCTGGGAATTTTTCTTCGATTTTATGATTTTTGACGGCCTCAGAATCATTGAAAACATGAAAAAAAGTGATTTTTTTAGGAAAGGAATATATTTTTTTACATTTTTTTACAGTTTCTTTTTTTCAAAGTTTGAGCTTTTTCTCTTCCTTTCAAAACTCGTGAAACTTAAAAAAATGCTTAAGAGTCGTTTGAAACGGAATTCATGGAAATTCGCTTTGATTTTTTTATGCTTTTAACTGTCTCGGGACCATTGAAAATTTAGGACAAAGTGAATTTTTTTGAAAAAAAGAGAAAAAAATTTCAGACTTTTTAAATTTTTGAGCATTTTTCTTCTTCTCAAAGCCCTCGAAACTCAAAAAAATGCTAAAAAGTCGGTTGAAACGAAATTTTTTTGAAAAAAATTCGCTTTGATTTTTCAGGATTTTTAACAGCTCCATAATCATTGAAAATTCTGGGAAAAGTGAATTTTTTTAGGAAAAAGAAAAATTTCTGACTTTTTTTGTTTCTTTTTCAAATTTTGAGCTTTTTCCTTTCCCTCAAAATCTTTTCAAAATCCCCCAAAAAAACCACAAGAATCGAAAAAAAGAAGAAGACGAGACAAAAAAAAGTGTTGTTGACATGGGAGGGATGAAGAAATTTGAGCCAATTGTTTTTGACGTTCCGTTTGATAATTCCAAAAATGGAATTTCCTAGCCATCCCCAGCAGCTACAGCTGTAGTATTTGAGAGCAAAAACAAAAAAAAAAAGAGTTTCGTAATGGGCCTGAAACTTTGTTTTCGCCCTTCCTCCTAGTTGTTTTTCAGGTCCCCTCAGGGCTTTTTCCTAGAGCCGGGGAGGAAAAAACGTTGTTTTCGGGATTTGCAACCCTTCGCTCAATGTTTTTGATGAATTTCAGTTGAAACCATTGTGTTTTCGAGGGGTTTTGAAGTAAAAAATTCAATTTATGAGATCTTGGTATTTTTTCAAGTTTTGATGAGTTTTTCAATGGAAATCTATAACAATCAGGATCAGAAAAATTTTTCAAAAAAATCGAGCCAAAAAAATCAGAAACTCGTCGTTGATGAAAAAAAGTTAAGAAAAATCTCGGTCTTTTTTCAAATTTCTGTAGTTTCTTGAGTTTCAAATCATTTTTTTCTCATTTTAGAATTTTTTTAAAACTTTGAAATTCCATTCAAAATTCATCAAGAAAAAGATCAAAATGAGGAAAAAAAATCCAAAAAAATCGACCTTGTTTACCAAAAAAAAGTGACGTCATAAACTGGTGACGTCACTTTTCATAAGCTTCTTCTAATATAAACTTGATTTTTTTAATTTTTTAAACCACGAAAAAGGCCTTTAAAACCTCTAAAACGTCTCGAAACTTCTAGAATCCGCTCCAATGACGTCACTTGTAACTTTCAAAAAAACACGTGACGTCGTTTTTTTCATGAGCTTCTTCTAATAAATTTTTTTAACTTATTAAATTTCATTTTCAATTTTTTTCGACCAAGAAAAAAAGATCTTTTAAACTTCTGAACTTTGTTCTAATGACGTCATTTCATTTTTTAAAAAGTATGACGTCACTCTGTATGACGTCACGAGCTTGTTTTTATAAAAACACCTTTTCCAAACCTATTAATATTAATTTTTTTCAATTTTCGCCACCACGAAAAAAAGACCTTCAAAACTTTTAACTTTGCTCTAATGACGTCATTTCAGTTTTTTTGAAAAAGTATGACGTCACTTTTTCTGAGTTTATTCTTATTAAAAAAAACATTTTTAAACTTATAAATTCCAATTTTTCTATTCCGCGACCAACAAAGAGACCTTCAAAACTTCCATACCTTCTTCAAACTTCTAAACTCCGCTCCAATGACGTCACTCACACTTTTCGAAAAACACCTGACGTCACTTTTTTCGGAAATTATGAGGGCGTGGCCGTGTCTACGGTGTTGCAAGTCGCCTGAGGGTGCACTCCTGGGGGCCACGCCCACTTTTTGCACTCTGCTGCACTTTTACCGTAGTTCTTCGCTCCTCCTCTATGTTGTTTTTGTTGCAAAACGACTCGTGAAACCGAAACTGGATCTGTCTGGACTCTTGCGAGGGGCCACTCTAGGGGTGGGGAAAAATTTGCTGAGTGATGTTTAGAAAATACAGTCAGACTGAAGGAAGGAGTGAGAGTTGTAAGCTTTTTTTTAAGGACTAAGAAGTGGTCACTTGAGGGCTGTTATTAAGGTCAGGACCGCGCCAAGTGGTCACTCTAGGGACGATCAAAGTTTTCCTGAGTAAGGTTTGGAAAGTACAGTCAGACTGAATGAAGGTGTGACATTTGAAAGCTTCGTTTTGAGGACTTAGAAGTGACCACTTGAGGGGTGTTGTTGAGATCAGGAACGGGCCAAGTGGTCACTCTAGGGACGGGATAAGTTTTGCTGAGTAAGGTTCAGAAAGTACAGTTAGACTGAATGGAGGAGAGAGAGAGTTGTAAGCTTCTTTTTAAGGACTAAAAAGTGGTCACTTGAGGAGTGTTGTTGAGATCAGGCTGGATTTGTACTTTTAAACTGTAAAAGTGGTCACTTAAGTTATTTTGACGTCATTTTCCATCACGATGAATTTCTAGGCTTTATCAGAAATTAAGATTACGAGGGGCCATTTAAGAGGTTTTCCCTGGAATTTGTGATCCAGGATTAGCTATTGAAAACTTACAAAGTGCTAAATTTGTTATTGAGTAGGTTTTAAGAAGCTTTATTATTAAATATTGAAAATACAGCCTGTTTTGAACTTTTGGTCTGAGAACGACGTCTTGAGCTCCATTAATTCCAGGAATTGACATATTTTTCCTTTTCATATGTAAACAAGACGACGTTGGGATGAATTCTATGAAAAAAGCTGGAAGGTAGTAAATTAAGAAGGGACCACTTAAGGGGTGGAAGACATTTTTTTCATTTTCATATAGCAACTTAGGGATAAACTACGTAGCCCATAAAAAAGCTTGGAGGGAGTAAAATTGAAAAGTGACCACTTAAGGGGTGGAAGACATTTTAGGAGCATTTTTAGCCAATTTTTGAAGAATGAACCGTTTTTTTACATAATTAGGCAAGTGAACCCTATAGGGCTTTTCATTTTAGCTTCCAGAGATTCAAAGCAAACAGTTATCAAGCTTTAAATTGTGGATAAATGGGTCTCTGGTTCGACTCCCGCCCTGGTTTTTGCTTTTTTCCAAAAATCATTTTTAGACCGAAAAATCAAGTTATTTTGATCTCAAACGAGGTGAAAGATCTCTTCAAATGTTATTTTTGTCTCTAATTGGCAAGAGAAAATTTTTTCGAGCGTGCAAAAAAAAATGGGTGATCTTGTGATGTACATGGGAAGCTAATTAATGCTTCATTAAAAGTTTCTAATTTGAGAAATTTTTTTAGTCAGAGCCTTTAGAACTTTGATATTGGAATTTTTAGGAGATTTTTTTGCTTTTTTTCAAATTTGTTCGAAGCAACTTCAAAACAATGAGGAATCTCTGCAGCTGCCCCAATAAACCATTTATTTGGACGGCAATAATATTTATTTTAATGCCGGATACGGTAGTGAAAAACAAATAGACTGGGGTTGAGAAGAAAAAAACAAAAAAAAAATTAAAAGCTCTTTTTTGGGATTAATTTTGCTCCATTGATAATTTTAGAATTTCTCTTTTTAATAAGTCATTTTTTTCAATGAATATCCTTCTAAAGTCGACATTCTATGATGAATATATAATAATAACGCTACAGGAAGCTATTTTTTTCCTCGTCTTCTTCGCTCCAATGATAAATTTTTTTAAAAATTTTTCAAAAAAATTGATAGCATCATTTTTTGGAAAGCCATTTTTTTCTCAACCTTTCCTGCTCCATTGATAATTTCAAGATTAGGCAATTTTTTTTTCAATTTTTTTTAGCTGCAAATAAATTTTGAAGTTTTTATGATTTTCAAGTCCTAGAAGGCCTTACCCTAAAATTCCTGAAAGCCACTCTTACTGAAAAAAATTCTGAAACCCATCCTCACCGTAAAGAAACCCTAACATTGAAAAATTCCAAAAAAAGCGATTTCTTCAGACCTTCTTTGCTCCATCGCTAATTTTCCCCCAATTTACAGTGCCTCGTCGTCACCGAACGTCAGAAGCTGATGGCGGACCAGATCAAGATCAGAAGACGTCAGAGGAAAGACACGTTGATGAACCTCACCAGGGAGCACATCACCTCGACGCTGAACGCCGTCAACGCCGCCGCCGCCCTCAGTGCAGCTCCAGCTTTCAACTTTGGCAATCTAGGAGCCTTATTCTGTAAGAACTCCTCACTTGGAGCCTCTTTTCAAAGTCTTCTTTCAGACAACACGGCTCTGAAGACCCCTACGGCGCCGCTTCTCACGTCTCCGTCGACGTCCGACGCTTCTTACTCGCCGTCGCTGCAGTTCCCGTCGCCGACATCGCTGCCCACGATTTTGATGCCGCCGTCGCCGGAATCCATGTCGCCGACGACCTCGCCGACCGTCGCGTCGACGCCGACCACCGCCTCGGCTCCACTCCTGGGCCCACTGGCCTTGAATCCCGCGACGTTCACCTTCCCGCTGCTGTCGCAGCCGCAGTCGCAGCCGTCGGTCGTGTCGCCGGAAAACGCCGTGTTGATCCAGACCTTGCTGGCTCAGTACCGACTTCTGGAGAGCTCCAACTTGCAGAACGCCGAGCAGCAGCAGCAGAACGACTGCGCCAATATGTTGATCGATGTTTGTGGTGTTTGAGGTGGTTTCTCTTAAGCTGGTTTGGTTTGGGAATAGTGAGATTTTGGGACTTTGGTAAGTCTGCTGGAAGATTCAGGGTTATCTGATAACTGTGAATTTTTCCTGAAATCTTTAAAAAATCGGTCAGAAATTCTATTCAGAAAGATGTAGTCGTGCTAAAATGCTCAAAAATTGGGGGATTCTGAGCTTTTTTTTGGAATTTTAGTATGATATCGACCATAAGGATTTTTGAGTCTTCATAAAATTTTGAAAATAAGGAAAAGTCCCAAAAATCTCAAAAAGTCCCAAACCAAACCAGACCTTATTTTTTCAATTTCCCTCATTTTTCAGTTCTATTTTCCCAACCTTAGCCACTTTATCCATACCAAACTTCCTTACACTTATTCAGTTTGTAGCCCTATCAAATTTTCCTGGAACCCATCCAAAAAGTCCAACCACCAACCATTGTGATTGATTGAGTGATTCTCCCGGTTTTTTCGGGAGTTTTTTCCCATTTATCTATCATCCATTACCTCGGCATCATTTTATGTATAATACATGTGTAAAACCAAAAAAGACGGCCACTTTCAAACCTCATCAAACCTTTTTCCCTTACAACCGTTCTAACCTCATTCATTCATTATTATTTTTTTCATTTCTTTGATTTTTTTCTGTGAATAGGCGAATCTCGGACCACTCCCCAGTGACCACAAAATTGAGCTTTTATCCTTCATTACCGTAACCCGGTGTCTACCGTAACCTTCCAAAAAGAAAATCCAACCAATTTGTAACTTGAAGCATATCAAAACGTTTGTTCCCCATATTTCGCCCCTTGTTTTTCCTCACTTTTTTTTGCATTCGAAAAAAATAAAATTCTATAGATAAGTGTTATTTTGAGCAAGAAAAGGCATAGCGCAGTTGGTAGCGGGATTGACTGTGAGTTGGGGGTCTCAGGTTCGAATCCTGTCCTCTTTTTTGCCGTTTTTTCAGATGGTTCGAACGAAATAATTTCATCTGATCTTGCGGATTTTGAAATTTGAGCCGAAGGGTCTCAGGTTCGAATCCGGTCTTCGCTTTTGCCAAAAATTCATCCAGATCTTTTTTTTTCAACGGTTTAGAAGTCTCTGGCGAATAGAAAAATCAGCCTTCGATGTTCTTGGACTAAAAAATTTTGGTTAAAAGGGTCTCTGGTTCGTTTCCGCTCCTCGTTTTTGCCAAAATGTTAGCTCCGTTTTTTTTTTCAGATTTTTGGCCAGAAAACCTTCAAAATCTACCAGAAAAGTTCATTTTTATTCTTGAAAAAGGTTATTTTTGAATTTTTCCGTATCAAATATGATCATTCTCATACTGGAAAACTTTCCAAAATTATCCAAAGGCCTTTTTTTTTCAAAAATAAGCCCAGACAATCGAGAACTGAATAAGCCTAATGCACTCGATGTTTTTTTCCAGCGGGGGAGGAAAAAAAGAATGGAATAATAAAAAAATAATAATAATATGATTGAAAAGCTCGCGCCGTTTTTTTAATTTTTCAAAGCGTCGGCCACGCGGAAATCATTTTTTTTTTTTTTCATTTCGCAACAACAACAATCGTCGTGTTTTTGCCGTCGGCTTCGCTGGAATTTCGTGCGTTTGTGCCCGGAAATTGCTCGAAATTGGGTGGTGAGGCCACAGGAATTTGCAATTGTTTGCCCAATGGCGCTTTTCGACCGAAAATGGGTGATTAATCGCTTTTTGGAAGACGTTATTATGATTATAGGCTGTGAAATTTTGAAAATTTCGCATATTTATTCACCAATGAGGTCATAGGTTCAATCCCCTTCGAGGCTAAAACTTTTTTGCGGTTTTTCCAAAGCTTACCTAGTACTACCCAAGCTTTTTGGAAGACGTTATTATGATTTTAGGTGGTGAAATTTCGATTTTTTCGATTAGAAGCCTCTATTTCTTCACCAATGGGGTCACAGGTTCGATCCCCCTCGAGGCTAAAATTTTTTTGCGGTTTTTTCAAAAATCAGATGGTACTTCTCCAGCTTTTTTGAAAACATTATTATGATTAGAGATGGTGAAATTTCGATATTTCTGATAAAAAGTCTCTCAATTCTTCACCAGTGAGGTAACAGGTTCAATCCCCTCCGAGGCTAAAACTTTTTTGCAGATTTTTCGCAAAGTTTAGAAGCTATTTTCCTCGTTTTTCCAGCCTCCTGGGCTCAAAAAGTTAAATTTTAACACTTTAGTAATGTTTTTTCTGCAGGATGTAAGAAACCTTCCTTTCCCAATTAATATTTTTTCTCGAAACCCAAAATAAAGGCGAAAAGTCCAGTGCACGTCACATCCTCCCTGCCAGACTTTTCCTCAAAACAACCAATTTTCAAAGAAACCCAACGGAGAGCCAACATTTTCTTAATAACTGGATAATCTCTTCCGTTGAATCAAATCAACAAACCGCACAAAATACGTCTTCCAACGTCGTTTTTGGCCGAATCCTGATTCAAGTTAAGAGGCGGATTATGAGAGGAAAAGCTGGGTTTTTTCCTCATTAAATCGTCGATTTTTAGATACTTTGAAGGTGTGGGATCATGTGAAATCTGTCCTCTAAGCCCTAATTAGGCGTCAATGCTTTACGGAGAAAGGAAAATATTTGATGAAAATAACAATTTTTGAAGCGGGGGAACAAAATTTCTTATCATGAATAAAAGCAAAAATGCTTCCGCCAGGACAGGGGTCGAACTCGTGACCCTTCTGACCTCGTTAGAAGTAGCTACCGACTGCGCCATGATCCACGCCTACGCTTTGATCAAAGGACTCTACCCTTTTCAGCAAAAAAAGAGTGAACTTTCTCTCAAAAAAACAAAAATTTTTTTGAGAACAGGAGTCGAACCTTTGACCCTTCTGACCTGGTTTCAAATAGCTACCAACTGCGCCATGATCCGGGTGCAAGCTCCGTTCAGAGAATTCTACCGTTTTCAGCAAGAAAAGGCGAAGTTCCTCTCAAAAAAAAAAAGCAAAAATTTTTTTCGAGAGCTGGAGTCGATCCCTTGACCCTTCTTACATCGTTTAAAGAAGCTACCAACTGCGCCGTGATCCAGGTACGAGCTCCGTGCAAAGAACTCTACCTTTTTCAGCTAAAAAAAACTGCTTCCAAAACAAAAAAGCAAAAAATTTTCCTCGAGAGCAGGGGTCGAACTCGTGACCCTTCTGACCTCGTTTAAAGTAGCTACCAACTGCGCCATGACCTGGGCCATGACGTGACCAGTTCCGTGCAAATAATTCTACCCTTTTCAGCAAAAAAGGAGAAGTTCCTCTCAAAAAAAAAGCAAAAATTTTCCTCGAGAGCTGGAGTCGAACCCTTGACCCTTCCAACCTCCTTCGAATTAGCTACCAACTGCGCCATCATCCCCACCTACTCCTTATGCAAAGAACCCCTTCTTTTAAACGAAAGAGACGAACAAAATTTTTTATTATAATTAAAAGCAAAAACGTTTCTCCGAGAACTGGAGTCGAACCCTTGACCCTTCTAACCTCATCAAAAATAGCTACCAACTGCGCCATTGTCCGCGCCCACGCCTTATGCAAAGAAGTGTGCCCTTTTCGGCGAAAGTTCTCTCTTTAAAGGAGAAGCTAATTGGTTTTCGCCGTATTTTGCGACTTCAATGGAATGTTTTCGTATTTTTCGAAAGCTTTGAAATATTTTCCAGCCGTTCCCATGGCATTTTGCACTCCTCGTCTGCCTTTTTTTATTGTTGCAAGAAAGAAAGTGCTGGGTTACGGTAGGGAAAAGTCGGCTATTTTTGAAAGTTCATCGAGAGAATTTATTTGAAAACAAGTGAGAATCTGAAAATTTTCTGCAAGCAGGCTAAAAATAAAAATGAGCGCTATTTTTTGAAGTTATACTGGGGTGTTTCTGGAGAGCTATACCGCGAAAAATTTGGTTTTAACGGTCCTTTTCAGGATTGAGATGAAGGTAGATCTGTGGAGGATAATTTCAAAAGGAATTTAGAGAGGTCCCTTGAAGGACCACTTCAATGGCCAGTCAAAAAAGTTGCCTAAGAATCTTCAGATAAACCTTCTACAGCTCGAAAGTAATCTGCAAAAAACTTTTAGAATCAAGAACTTTTGACCTTTTTGGTGGAAGCGGAGGATGCTACCAAAAGCGCTATCAAGTTTAAACTTGAAATCCAAAAAAATTCAGTGAACTCATTCTTAGGTCCAAGAAACTCTTAAAAGACCACTCCACACTGACGACTTTACTAACACCATTTTTCTAAATCTTAACCCGATTTCGGAACCCGCATCAAGTCGGTACAAGCATCTTACTAGTTCCGCTTCCCTTCCCTAGAAGCCCTCTAGGGTCCACTTCGAATTTTTTTCCCTAGTACCTTTTTCAATGGATACCCGGCACACGTTAGCACGACATTATTCTTGAACCTGTCTTAACATAAATGTTGTGCAGTTAAAGCAAGAAATAGCCGGAAACCCGGATCAGGTCGGTACAAGCTTCTTCCTAGATCTGCTCCCCTTTTCAAGAAGCCCTCCAGGGACCATTTCAAAGACTTCACTAGCAACTTTTCTGAAAGTTTTAGCAAGAAAAAGCTAGAATCCCGGAGCAAGTCGGTACAAGCTTTCTCCTAGTTCCACGTCCTTTCCGCGAAGCCCTCCAGGGACCACTTCAAAGCCTTCACTAATACCTTTTTCAATAAAACCTGGAAACCCGGATCAAGTTGGTACATGCTTCTCTTAGGTCTCCTGTTCTCCATTCTTCACTAGCAACTTTTCTGGGTTCCATCGATTGAAAGCTCAAAACCCGGAGCAAGTCGGTACAAGCTTCTTCTTAGGTCTACTTCCCTTCCCGAGAAGCCCTCCAGGGACCACTTCAAGGGGTTCACTGGAAACTTTTCTGTGAGTTACAGCAAGAAAAAGCCAGAAACCCGGAACAAGTCGGTACAAGCGTCTTCCTAGTTCCACGTCCCTTCCTGAGAAGCCCTCCAGGGACCACTTCAAAGACTTCACTAGCAACTTTCCAGCGA